CCTGGTGGCAAAAACATCTATCTGGGGGAACCCCCACCTGTGGAAGAGTGGAAGAAGGAAGGTTGGATTCATTTCCCACTCATGGAGACTGAGTCCTGCCCAACTCAGGTGGTCTGCTTGCACATTCATGTGCCCTGGGATGTGCGTGGCGACTAGGAAGATGTTGTGGGCAATGCAGAAGTCCCATAACTGGAGGGCGAGGTTGCAGAGGCATTGGGAGATGGTGCCCCCTTGCTTGTTCACATAGCTGAGGGCAGTAGTATTGTCCGTGAGGACCATGACACATTTCCCCTCGATCAGGGGCAGGAAACTGATGACAGCGAACTGTATCGCAAGCAGTTCCAGAAAGTTTATGTGCCGCTTTCGTTTTTGAGTGTTCCATCTGCCTCTGACACAAAGTCCCATCATGTGAGCGCCCCAGCCTGAGAGGGAGGCGTCTGTTGTTAGGGTCATTTGGGGTGATGGAGGATGGAAGGGTGCTCCCTGGAACAGATTGGAAGGGACAGTCCACCAAAGTAAAGACTCTCGTACTTTGGCAGGTGGGATCAGGAGGGTGGTGTGTGTGTTTTCCTTTGGAATGAAATTGTGGATAAACCATAGTTGTAGGTGCCGCATTTTTAATTTGGCAAAGACCAAGACTGATGCAGTAGCAGCCATAAGGCCGAGTAGCCTTTGTATTTGAAAGGCCATCACTGAAGGTCGGGAACGGATGACAGTGGCTAGGTGGACGATGTCGGTCACTCTGTTTTGTGGCAGGTAAGCCGTGCAATTCATGAACAAAGGTAAAAGCGAAAAATAAAGAAAACTGAGGCGAAGAAAGCTCAGACCGACGAAAGGAAGGTGCTTCCAGCACGGTGGAAAGAAAGGAACTGGCGGGATGTCCGTGCCCACCCCTCTGGGCATGCGTGGTGGGGTTCATGCGCATGCCCGAGGTCTGGGCGCGAAAATCCATTAAAGAGCTTGCTACAATGCCGATTGATCCAGCGCGTGTGCACTGTATCCCATGGGTGTGAAGCACAGAGACCACATCGAAGATCATGTATTCCTAGGTATAATAACCAGGGATAGATATAAATGACAAATGAAGCTGATTGATCTTTATGTTGAAGTGTGACTTTACAACAGGACACAGCGTCAGCTTAATTTTACACATAAACAACCTCATTTCTCCTAAAGGCTTTTCTGTTACAGAAAAATAGATTTTATACAATTCTGCAAACTTATGAAGAAGAAAAAACTAATATCCATACACTATACAGGTAGACAACAGCTAAGGCTGATAAAATGAAGTTAAAATGGTCTTCTGCAATGAAGCAGGCTGAATTATATAAATTTACTCTCCTTTGAGGTAGAGGAGTTTCAGGAGAATTAAATTAAAGCCCTGTCTACTTCCACGCATTTCATGGACTCTTAACTCTGCTGTTGGTTCATCTTTTTCATATCTCAAATATAAATGTCTGCCTAGTGAAAACCCACTATATTGCATCTGAGGGACTGAGATTATTAGCCTTGCTAGTGGTTAAAGTGCCACAAGATTCCTATTATCAAATGGTTAACCAGGACTATACTGCATCACACTGAAACTGGGGCAAATATATTCTGAATGCTTCCAATATGCCTAGAAAAGTACCAAATTAGGGACAAAGCTAGGCTTCAATGATTCATTCTGATGACTAGTTTTCCATGAAGACATTTTTAATATGCCACCTGGAATGTATATCCCAGTCAGAACAAAACATAGCAGAAAATCTTAACCGGAAGTTTCAGCTGAGTGACTCCTATAAATCAAGAGAATCCAAGTGTTGACACTTTTTTACTGTTTTGGTTCTTGACCCTCATTCTCATCTAACATTTTTGTTCTGTTTGGCATTCCCTGTTGCTTTTTATGTCTGTGTATGTGTATTTTAGCTCTGTTTTTAATTTTTTTTAATAATGTGTGTATTTGGGTGGGCAGATTAATGGTCTTTAAATATGATTTTATTATGTTATGTTTGTTAACCACCTTGGTGGTCCTTGTGAGGGTAGAAAGATGGGATATAAATTTTGTAAAACAAGTAAAGAAATTACAACATTTACAGTACAATCCTTAGCAGAGTCACACCCTTTTAAATCTATTGAAGTCAATGGGCTTAGAAGGGTGTAACTCTGCTTAGGTCTACACCATTAGTTGGTAGTAAAGGTTAGCTATTTCCATGGGGCTGATGCATACCTTCAGAAATAGCATATGGCACACCCCTACTGAGAATTTAGTATTTCAGATTATAGGAGAGAGAACATCTGAATAAATGCACCCCTACATCAAAAACTTCCTGCACACGGAAAACTAGCATACCAGAAAAGGATGAAGCAATATGTAATCATGTTGGAAGGTGTATAGCACAATAAAAAGAAATATATTTCACAGAACCTGAAGCCATTGATTGAAACGTGTCACCAGTTTTGCCATTAATATAGAAGAGAGTCTACACACACACTGAACTGAGTGCAAATGGTTAACAAAATACTGAGTTGCTTTGTTTTACAGAAAGGTGACCTTTTCCACAGGCTCGATTTACTCCTGATTTTCTCAGGAGTCAATCCACAAGCATTGGAATCAGTTTGGGCAGGGTTCTTTTGCATACCTGCTCTCTCTGTACGTTCTTACAGCTGTGAAGTCAGTTTATTTTCTTCTGCGCATGCCTTCAATAGTAAGGATTTTCAGGACTTCCGGTCTGTGGCTTCAGCGATGGCGGAGGCTCTCTCCTGAACGGGGGAGGCATTCCGCGCTCCAGGGGTGTTGGAGGGATGTCACCTCAAGTGGCACCCCCAGGTGAGCCTCAGTGAGGGGCTCCAAGCCGGGGGCGCTGGAAGGGCGACCTCTTCAACGGCTTTAAGCCGGAGAATTGAGGCGCTCCTCTTTGCCCCATTCGGTCCACCCCCTGAGAGGCTCGGTTTTTACCGAGCATAGCTGAATGCCGATCGGGACAAGCAAGCGGGTCAGCCTAATGAAGCCTAATTAAAAGGAGTCTGTGATCAGACTGTCAAGGAACTGGAGAATGAGACGAGCGAAGAAGCTTTAAAAGTGAGTTCCGATCCCCCCCCACCCTCAGCGGCGTCGGGAGGAATCCCAGACGTAAACAAACCGAACTGTGATTTAAAGAGACGGGGAGGGGGAGAAGACAATTAATCACTCAAGTGTGCCAGAGACTTAG